TAAATAAGTGTATGAGGGTGTGTGCGTGTGTGTGTGTGTGTGTGTGTGAGAGAGAGAGAGAAATAGAGTGTAGTGGATGTTCAAATAAGTGTGTATGAGCATAAAAATATATGCATCGATTTTGGATATGTGAATGTGAAACCGGTCTTTATAAAGTCCTCGTGATCTTTCAAAACTTTAAAACGATGATTACAGTCTCCTAAGTCAGGCTAGCCCCTGCACACAATGATTTCCTCTCCGCCAGAGACAGTGTAAAGGCAAATGGAGTAGCTCTTGCTCCTCTGTGGACTTTGATTCTCACATCACAGGCCAGTTTCCCTCTGGTCTTCGTGTGTGTTTGTCATAAGTATGACAGATTCCTGAGTCGTTTTAGGCTTCACTGCATTTGTCTTTAGATGTCACGGAGGGATTCTCCCTGTCATCCCAGATTGTAATAACAATCAACCTTTATTTGCCTCTTGCTTCCTGCCTTACCTGGATTAACTCATTTAATCCTCAGAGCAGCTCTGTGAGACAGGTATTCTGGTGATTCAGATACGAAAATGAAGGTTCAGGGAGATGAAGTCACCTACTCAACATCACACAACTGCCAAGTACTGGAGCTGGGTTACAAGCTTAAGCAGTCTAACTCCAGAGCTCACATCCTGAAGTCCTGGGCTGCTCTGTTGCCTTGAGAAACCGCGGAACTGGAAGCTGGGGAGCCAGAGCTCTGTCCTAACTCTAGGTGTCTCTGGTCATGTGACCTTGAACAAATTGCTTTGCCTCTCCAAGCCGGTCACTGGTAACTGATGTTTGAGTGGGAGGCTCTGTGGATGGCTGGGTAGAATGGCTGGGAGGGGGAATAGTGAAAGGGACTCCAGTAGCTCCCTGGCCCGATATCTGAAAAGAGGGTGGGGTGTTTGTGTGTCTACACAGTTACCCAGCAATTTGTTCTGATCTGAGCATGACACAACTGTCTTCAGTTCACCCTGTGAGGGAGGGGCTCTGGTGAGAGCAGAGTAAGGGGAGGGGTTTGTGCTGTCTCTCATTCCAAAGAGAGAGAGGAAGGAAGGGCCCAGCCACCCTATGCCAGGAAGCCTGTGTGCCTGGGAGGTGCCCACACCCTGCCAGGGCCTTGCCTGTCCCTGCTGGAAGACACACCTTCCCCCTTTACCCTCTCTGGCAGGAACCTGCCCTATAGGCCCAGGTAGTACTGCCCCTCCCTTTCCCCATTTGAGAGGAGGTGGGGTTGGAGTGCAGGTGAGTCGGGTGTGGAGTGTAGAGGAGGGATTGCATAGGCTCCTGTGCCAGCATGATGACACATCCCATGTGTGCACTTGGACTCTGTTCTTACCAGCCGTGGGAATAGGATTCAGGTACTGAAGCAGAGACCTCTGATTTCTGCTGATTTCCTGGGGTGGTGGGCAGAGTGCATAAAAGAGGCAGCCAGAGGACTTCCCCATCTTGCCACCATTAGTGTGGTGATGTCCAACTAGCCTTTGGAGTGGTATGGTCCTAGTGTCTTAATGCCAAGGCTTGTTAGCTGTGTGACTCCAGGCAAGTCACTTCACCTTTCTGGGCTTTAGTTTCCTTATCTGAAAAACTGAGCGCTAATACACACCTTTTAGGATTATTGTGAGGCTTAAAGGAGATCATGTAGGTACAATACCTAGTGCTAAGCCTGGCATAGGGAGGGCCTCAGCAAATGGTGAGCTTTTGAATTATACAGACATTGTCCTTTTACTATATCCTGGCCCTGATATAGGCCTAGTCCCCACTTTTGTCCAAGTGCATTCCTGTCTCTCTCTCTGTCTCTGGGGGTGGAGTGAACAGTTGGGGGAGGGAACAGAGAGGAGGCTGCTGCATAACTACCCCTCTTCCAAGGTTTCAGGAGCTCATCCAGCCTGTGGGCTCTGGGAGGAGTGTGAGGTGGGCCTCTGGGTCCAGTCTTGGGATTGGAGAGGAGGAGGCTACTTCATTCCCTTCCCCCTGTGCTTCCTTCCCAGGCACTGGGGTGGCCAGAGCTGCCCTGACCTGGCCCAAGATGACAGCAGCTCCAGCAATGTCAGCTTCAAGGTAGGAGAGACTACAAAGAAGAAAGCTCCGGAAAGGGCAGGCCCTGAGAACCCTGACTCATAAGTCAGGCAACTGGGGTTCACTAGTCCTCCCTCTGCCACTGATTCACTGGGTAACCGTGGGCAGATCACTCTTCACCTCTAAACCTCAGTTTTCCCCTCTGCAAAATGAAAATAATAATGCCTTTCAGGGCTGCCGTGAGAAATGAGGTAATGGATGTGGAACATTCAGCCTGGGGCCTAGGTGCTCAAGAATCATGAGCTTTTTATGCTGGGGGGGCATAAAGGGTCAGTGCCTGTTCTTTGGATCCCCTTTTTCACACTTCCTGGTATAGCTTGACCTCCTCCCATCTTTGGCTCCTTTTCCCCACTTCCTGGCATGGACCCCCAGGAGGTCCATGGACCCCCAGTAGCTTAAGCTTCTGGCCACGGTTTTCCCATCTCAGGGACCTGAGCCATGGATTGGGCTATACTGGGTGCCCTCCCCTTGGAGGAACAGCCGTGTATCTCTGTAGTTCTGAATACCATTAATTATTACTAGCGCTTAATTGAGTACTCGTTATGTGCCGGTGCTCTGCATGGATTATCTCATGCAATCTTTATAGCACTCCCAGAAAGCAGGTACTATTATTATCGTGCCCGTTTTACTCATGGGGAAACTGAGATGCAAGAGGTATTGCATCTAGGAAGTAGCAGAGCTGGGATTCAAGCCTGGGTTGCCTTGCTCAGGCCCTCACATGAATCACTGTCCCCTCCTATCTTTTGAGGTGTTCAGCCTTGGAGAATGAGAGACTGCATCTATTTCATAGATGAGTAAATTGAAGCATTTGGGATCGGTGGCCTCTGCTCAGAGATGTTGACCCCAGACTTGGCTCCTCTGTTGCCAAGAACACAAACCTGTCTTTGAAAACTGGTGGTTTGGGGGGACGGTGTCCATATGGGTCTGGGATCCTGGGCCCTTTCCCCTCTCCCCTATAACCAGGCTTGACCCCAGGGGAAGACAGCAGACAGAGGTCAGGTTTGTCCCGTTTTCAGAGGAACTCTCTTCCCTGGCTCCCTCATGTCCCAGGTACATCTCTGTGGCTAGGTACCTCCTACCAGGCATGCCTGGGAATCTC